TTCAGTATGCCGTTGTTATAACAATTGGCTCACATGAGGTTTGGCTTGTGCATACATATCCATTAACAATCAAGCATTCATTGTCATTGTAGTTAATGAGTTCCCAGTGCTGAAGGCAGATGCCATCAAGTACGTCATGATCTTCAGAAGCCAGGTACAAACTGTTACTTTCTCCACAACTTGTTGAATTTCTGAAAGGCAAAATTAGTGCATTACAGAGGACTTCTTCTCTGTCTCTTTCTTTCAGCTTCCTAAAGAGCATCTATTGCAGGCAGTTCCTCTACTAATTAGTCACCTGCAGGCAGAGAGCACAGTGGAGCATACTTACGCTGCCCATGCTTTGGAGAGGCTGTTCACTATGAGAGGCCCCAACAACACAACACTGTAAGTATCAACAGTAAACTGATAATTTAATTAATTGAATTAATTTCCACATAAAAATTGAGCAGTAAATGTACATTGTATTATTGAAATATTCAATTGAGTTGTTATTTATTGTTTTTTTATCCTTAGAATACAAATCAAATCTTCACCCAGTGCAGTTTAGAAGAAGGCAAACGTCTCAATATTTAAGAAGAATTCACAATTTAAATAGATTTGGAATGATGCACCACATTATATGAAAGCTTAGATTTACTAGTATGTGTGGAGTAATTGCCCATACTTAATATTGGGCAGATCACCTATTATATATTAATTTACCTTTTCTCCAGGGATCAGTTGTATACTACATTCACATGCACCGCACTCATAGCAGTCCTGTTTGTTTCTCAAAAAGTTTTATAGATAACTGAGATGAAACAACAAGGCCAAATGCAGAAATCTGCTCCAACTTTTCGATTCATCTGTATATCTACTAAGCAATCATCCCCTCCATGTTTTTCAGTATCACTCCAGCAGAGATGGCACCTTTTACTGAACAGCTGCTCAACCACTTGTTCAAGGCCCTCGCTCTTCCTGGTTCTGCAGAAAATGAATACATCATGAAAGGTAAACCTGACTCTCCTCTGTCATCTAAATGCACCCCATTAATGTTCCCCAGTCAGTGTCAGACCAACTCCAGATTTATTTTAAGTAGCCTCATAATGTCTTTCTTTTCTTTCTTTCTTTTAACTTTTAAAGCCATCATGCGCAGCTTCTCCCTGCTGCAGGAGGCCATTGTTCCCTACATTCCCACTCTGATTGGTCAGCTCACTCATAAGCTCCTCTTAGTCAGCAAGGTAACATACACTTTGTTACTATTTATGGATACAGATAGATTCACCAACATCGTTTGTTCAGGCGATGCACATGTCAACTAATCCAAAATCTGCCACCCATTTTCAGAATCCGAGCAAGCCTCACTTTAACCACTACTTGTTTGAGTCCCTGTGCCTTTCTGTCCGAATCACCTGCAAGGCCAACCCCACCACTGTCAGCAGCTTCGAGGAAGCACTGTTCCCCGTCTTCACCGAGATCCTACAGAGCGATGTCCAGGGTATGTCAATTAACTATGGAACTGAGTTATCTACATGTAGATGATATGCTGATAAACACAGCCTGTGGCTGGTTAAGGCAGCTCCACTCATGCTTCCTTTGTCTGCTGTCGCAGAGTTTCTTCCGTACGTGTTCCAGGTGATGTCTCTCCTCCTGGAGATCCACTCCAACTCCATTCCCTCTTCCTACATGGCTTTATTCCCTCACCTGCTGCAGCCTGCGCTATGGGAACGGACAGGAAATATCCCCCCGCTGGTGCGCCTGCTTCAGGCTTACCTGGAAAAGGGAAGTGCCACTATTGCTGGCTCTGCTGCAGATAAAATAGTGAGTTGATAACTCTGATTGTATCTCTATTTGTTTTCTTAATATTTATAGATTACATCATTTAGTCATTGTGTGACCAGTATGTTGACATATTTTGCGGCTCTTTCTTTTTCAGCCTGGCTTGCTTGGAGTTTTCCAAAAGCTGATTGCCTCTAAGGCCAATGATCACCAAGGTTTTTACCTTCTCAACAGCATCATAGAGCACATGCCCCCGTAAGTTGATTACAGTTGTGTTCTCATTGTAAAATGTACCTGTACCAAACAAACCTGTTTAGTCTGGAGAACAAGATTTGTAGCACTACAGTACTTTATTATAATTCTGTTATAATATTGCGACTTCGCTCATATTTTGGTTAATTGTGCAGCCCTAGTATCAGGAGAAATTGATAGGTTTTGGTCATGACTTTTTTTCCTTTGTTTTACCAGAGAATCTATCACTCAGTACAGGAAACAGATCTTCATTTTGCTCTTCCAGAGGCTCCAAAGCTCCAAAACCACCAAGTTCATCAAGAGTTAGTACAATCATCTCATTACCAAAATTGATGGTCTGTTCATAGTTCATAGTGTAAATTATCACCAGTTCTACCATTCATTACTGCCTTATAATACGGAGCTTTAAGTGTTAAAGTTTTCACTGGCTTACTTTCTTTCTGACAGGCTTCTTGGTGTTTGTGAACTTGTATTGTGTCAAATACGGAGCTATTGCGCTTCAGGAGATTTTTGACAGCATCCAGCCAAAGTAAGTGTATTTTCTATGTTACCACAAGATGTTGACAGAAAGTACACTACTATCTGACTGCAGTTAGTTAGTGGATTCAACCATCAGTGTAGTGTTTAGGCAGTGGGCACATGACATGTTCTATTAACCTTAATGCCACAAAAGATTCATAAGATAGCTGTCCCTTTTTAAAATAGATGGCCGAGTTATTTTCTCACTGGGAAGAAGCTCCTCTAAGCCCTTTTTTTTTTTTAAGCTTGAAAGGTGGCTCATTGTGAAGGATGGAAGCTATAGTCAGCTTAGAGTCACAGCTGTTACAATGGATGTCACAGGCGACCCAGTTAATGGTGAAAAGGGTATTTCTAAAGTGCATCCTTCCTTCCTGCAACAATATGTTGTTCCCCAGATAAGTGGACACAGGTTTATAGATCAGCTTGAATTGGATGATTGCTGACAATTTTGAATGTTTCTTATGCTTAAACCAGATTTATGTAACTGGCTACACAACCAGACTAAAAAGAGACCAGTAGTGACAAAATGCAAATGGGAAGGGAGAGAGGTTTTGCACTGTATTTCGAGGCGAACTGTTTGGAACACAATGCATTTATATACACAATTATGCAGAGTAATAGCTTTCTGAAATGTCACCACCCTGCCTGTAGGATAGTAAATATGTCAAAGGCAACAATATTTCCTGGTACCACTGCTGTTGCATTTAACCTAAGTGCAGCAGACCATTGGGGAAGTGTACTGTATTAATCATGTTTGCTTTGTTGTGTTGCAGAATGTTTGGTATGGTGTTGGAGAAAATAATTATTCCAGAGGTTCAGAAGGTATCTGGACCGGTTGAAAAGAAGATCTGTGCTGTTGGCATTACAAAAATCCTCACTGAATGTCCTGCAATGATGGATACAGAGTACACCAAACTCTGGTGAGAAATCAGCCTAAAGGCAACACAACCAACACAACCACTTAATTTCTTGTTTTCATGCAGTTACTTGGTTAAAGCACCTGCAGTCACAGGATGATTCAACCCACACAGATGTTTTCACTTTCTTGATTTAACCTCTAATCATGACTGTGTGGGGGCGTGTACAAACTGTTTGATTGATATCACCTTAAGCTTTCTGTTGATGACATCATGTAGTTCCCAGAATAGCCTCACACACATTTCACCTGAGGAGGGAAATCATCTGTTGTCTGAGACAATGTTGTTTTTCTGATTGATTTAGAATTTTAATTTAAATCTTGGACTTGGGGAATACCAGAGTAGGGAAGCCTAATTTAATAAATGACAATTATTGCTTCAATGTGTAGTCAGAAGCACTGTAAATACAGTTGAGTTGGACACAGAAATTGGGGAACCCTCATATTTCACAAGAAATGTGTAAAACTTTTACATTGCTGCAAATTTAATGCTTTAAGATCACGAAAATCGTTGGCTAAACTTTTCAAACTGTCCGATCAATCTAAACCAACTATCTCAATGTGTTTTAAGATTTTCAACATTACAGACATCTTTTAGACTGCAGAGTTGCTTCCAAGTTTGGCAGGCTGGATGTATTGGCACATCAGTAATGGCGGTCTCAAAATATTGCATACATCTTTTTCTACAGCCAAAATACTCGCCTTATATGTACTGAGTTACAAGTGATAATAATAATTTGTTGTTCTGAGTTAAACTAACCAGTCATTTGGGTTTAAATGTCTCTGTTCAGGACCCCTCTGCTCCAGGCGCTAATCGGTCTGTTTGAGTTGCCAGAAGATGACAGCATCCCAGATGATGAGCACTTCATCGACATTGAAGACACACCAGGCTATCAGACAGCATTCTCGCAACTGGCCTTTGCCGGGAAGAAGGAGCACGACCCCATTGGCGACGTTGTCGGCAATCCAAAAATCCTGCTGGCCCAGTCACTCTACAAGCTTTCTACTGCGTGTCCGGGAAGGGTATGTTGAGACTTCTTGTGCCATTTTACTTCTGCAGGTATAAAGAATACCTAATATAGAAAATATAATAAATGCTAATTGAATGCAGAAATCAAATGAGATATTCTTGTCTCACTTTTTTGGTGCAGGTTCCTTCGATGCTGAGCACCAGCCTCAATGCTGAAGCCCTCCAGTTCCTGCAAGGGTACTTACAAGCAGCCACTGTGCAGTTGGTTTGAAACTGATGTGATGGTGTTCACATAATATGGAGATCACAATACACTGCAGGATTAGCCACAGTGACCTCAGGTCACACGACAGACCTGCTTCAGCTGAACATTAGTCTTTACAGAGTTGGTTTGACTTGACAGTTCTTGGTGGATTTACCAGAGAAGTGATAATTTTGTCTGAATTTAAGGTGTGTTCCCTGATGGAAGTTTTTTTTAAGGCTTTTTAAAGATATGACCAAAAGTTGACTCAACTGATATACTGTTTAGTGCTCGGGCTCTTTGTTTGCTGTGTGGCAAAGCTAACAAGGATTTGGAAATCAAGGTCTGATACAATTGTCAGTTTATTTCAATAACAGCAGCATCAGCAGAGGTATATTTCAGCAGTACTGTGGAACACTGAACATCTGAATCATACGAGAGGGATTTCTTTACTGCTTCTTTTGTATGTTTGAATTCCTTTTTTACGGTTATGGAGACTGTAGTCGTGGCTCAAACATAATGCTTAATATTTTTCTGTTGCATGTTTCCCGTAGATTTGTTTATGTCTAGTCTTTGTTTCTGCACTGTTTGTTAATGTGAATAAAAAGAGGCACTTGTATAGATCTGTTATCACCACAGTCTCTTTTTCCATGAGCAGTTTTTCTATGAACTTGTTTGTTAATATTACTGGCTCTTTGGCCTCCAGTATAGAGGCTATTTAATGACTTTATTTTAACTTTTGTTTTCATGAAGCAATCCCTGACTGCCCTTCAGATCCGGTTGTAGTTATTTATAACCAAAAATTACACAAGTTACCCTTCAGTCCAGTGCAAAAATAAGGGCTCTCCCTTCAGATGACAAATTAATGTATTAGTAATATACAGTGTAAGACTTTGGTTGTCTGCATTGGCCCATTATTTAACAAGGTTGTAAGATTAACTGTAGAGGGTTCAGGACAATTTGATGTGGCCATTGGACATCTTCATTTCAACGTTCTTGATGAAAGGTAGCATGCATTTGTCACCTCCCATGAAGCGATATGTGGCCACATTTGCGTCCCAAGGTAGAAGTCTAGAGAAGGAAAACAAACCCACATTCATTTATTGTCCAAATACTTCTCATCAATAATGGCCTTAACATTGCATCTGTCGGTGTAACATCTTATACTGTACATGTTTGACAACCTGATCAGTACTCACGCTCGTGTGAGGAAGGGGATGTACATAAGACGAGGAATGCATATCATTTGCTGTTCGGCTAAAATGGCTTTCATGGATTGCTGTACAGTGTAGAGCGGCTCCAGAGGAGGAATTAGACTCCGAAGCTCCTTCCTGGTAGATATAAAACAAAAATTGGAGAATATAGCATCTTTTTTTATTATTTCAAAACGTTGTGTAATGATTGGTGGCATCTCACCTGATTTCACAGCCTGCAAACATCCCTGTGTCTACAATATAAGGGCAGACTAAAGTGGTTTTGATGCCATCCAGGTCCTCCGCTCGCAACTCGTGTGTCAGTGACTCGTGGAAACCGACAGCTCCAAATTTACTGGCACAGTAATCCTGGAGGAAGAAAGTAAATGAGAGCATTTAGTGAATTGTTGTATTTGTACATTCAGTTTGTAGTTGAGGGATTCATTAATCATGCGTCTTACCTCTACACATGCAGTGCTGAATAGTCCAAGAGCACTGGCAACGGTTACAATGTGACCATGATTCTTTGCTTTCATCTGAGGCAGGAAGGCCTTCGTCATCTGTAAGGGTGGTTTAAATAGATGGTATTAGTACCTCTTTAATAGAAATAGAAGAAATGGCCTATTTAACCCATCAGACCCAGAACTGTGACACCCTGAGGCAAGCTCAAAATCTGCATGGATCACAGTTTGCACTGCCTCATAAAGCTGATATAAGTTATTTAACCAGTCTGGTATGTGAAACGTTTTGTGGGATGGGAATCTGATGAGGACATACCCTTGTGTTTATCTACCTATAAACCAAATATGTTGAAATATTCCAACATATAAGCCACTTTATAAACAGCTGATTAGACTTGTACAGAAGTATAATTGTTTATTTTGTTACATAGTTTGCTTTCATTTGCTTATATGAACATGTGTTAAGGAATATGCAGCATAATATCCACTGAGATGACAGTGGCCTGTTCTAATAACCTTATCTCTTAAAGAGGGACGTTGTGTCAAAATCTTGTTTGAGACTATGGCTGTACAATAAATTTAAATATTAACGAAATCACAGTATGTCCAAGTGCAATATCTAAATTGCGTGGTACTGACCACACTTAATGTCACACCATGATTTTAATAGTTTTTTTCAGTAAAAATGAAAATTGTGACACCAAAATGATTAATCCCACTCATCATGAGTCATATCACAATTGTAATATCTGTCAGGACCATGTATACAATGCACACAAAGTGGGAGCAACTAGGGTTTAATAACAACTTATTCCCATTTCCCCACACACAGTACAGTGGGGTCTGTGGGAGCTGCCGACTATTCCCAACAGAGAGACATTCTTGCAAGATCAGGTGCGTTAGAGTTTTAGAAGGAGCTGTCACCGCCCGCCCACTGCACGTCTGATGCTGATATCCTTCATATTTCCTGCTAATGAGCTTACCCTTTTATTGTATGCACATGACTGAGGCTTTGAGAGGATCATGGGTAGAATCACATGCTGTCTTAACTGGTGGCTTTTATCAGCTCCTTTTTTATTCTGGGGATCAGAGGTTACCTCCACTTTGTAACCTCAAATGAACTTGGACACAGTCACAGGGACATGCTGTAGTGTGTACGGACTCTGCTTCATCTGATCCCTTCACACATGAGTGCGCTAATACTGACCCGAGGCCGGCGGGGAGGACCGCAGTGAATAGATGTTATGTAACCCGTGTCAGGCTGATCAGATGATGTTAGCTCCGTGTCTAGCATAGGTGGAGATGTATAGTTTCAATCGTGCGTAAAAGACGCGCGCGTCAAAATCTCACCCAAAACAGCGCGTGGCAGTTCACCAGCAGGGTCCTCTCCAAAAGCTCGTCAGGACAGTCCAGCAGCCTCCTTCCGGCCACCACGCCAGCGTTGTTGACCAGCATAGAGACCTCCCCGACCTCCGCTCTCACCTTGGTCGCCGTCTCATAGATGCTGTGACGCTTGGAGAGGTCCACCGTGTACGTGTGCACCTGGACTCCCAGCTCCCGCGCCAGCTTGGCGGTCTGCTCGTTGGCAGCCGTGTTGCAGTCCCAGAGCACCAGCTGCGCCCCTTCTTTGGCAAACTCCAGGGCGAACAGGCGACCCAGCGCGCCCCCGGCCCCCGTTATCAGACAGAGCTCCCCGTCAATGCACTTCAGCCTCGGCCGGAGGAAAGTCTGGAGGACGGCGTTCAGGATGGAGTAGGTTAGGTCGATGAGCATCAGCAGCAGGTCCACTATAAAGATCATGATGCTCCGCTCTGGTCCTGTCCTGTCCCTCAGGAGAAGTTAATGAGCCACACACAAGCTGACCGCCAAGCTTTGGAGCAGTTTTTTCTCTTTGTGCTTTGGGATTGGATGAGCATTTTATATAACGTGTGTGTGCCGGATTAGGACGCGGACTGATGGTGGCCACCAATAGAAAGGCTGTTTGTCTGATGAGCTGACTGACCAACCCGTGCACATTCATAACTCCTTCATAACAGTGGCTGAGTAAGACTGAGGCAGGGATTAAGATAACACACCAGTGCCAAAGCCAGCATATATAACACTGTATGTTTTAATATATGCAATGAGGGTGGGATGTTTTAATGCATCCTGTGATTACCTGAGCAGGTCACATTATAACGTTTTACATATTTCTTATTTAATCAAGTTTGTTCTTGGTGAGTTAAAGACCTTCAAACCCACCACCTATCTCTGGACAGCCATATGTTTTTCATGCTTTAAATGGTCTTTATACAGAAGAATACACAAGACCATACATTTCAGGTGCATAAACTCCATTTCAGAGTAACTGGTTACTTTACAGGTTAGTTATTTTTGCATACAAAACATATAAAGAGCTTTCAAAATATGATGTTTTGTTATAAATTAAACTAGCCAACAGTGATAATTTGATTAATCGACTGATAGAAAATTAATTGGCAAATACTCTGATAATCGTTTTTCCTGTGAAAATATTTCAAGGTTTCAGCTTCACAAATTTAAGGAATTGCTACTTTTGATTATGCTAATACGTATTATTTCTTTTAAATAATTGTGGATTTTATACTAATAGTTGGACCTAACAAGGATTGTGAGGGTGTCACTTTGGGCTCTGGGTAATTGTGACAGCATTTCTCTCTATTTTCAGATTATTTTATTTTATTTATATTACAAACCAAACAACCAGTTGATTAATGGAGGAAAATAATCGGCATAACCCATAATTAAAATACTCACTAGTTGCAGTCATATACAAAATCAGCTTCACCTAGAGCAGGTACAAAAGAAAAATCCTCCTTTACATTAATATATGAGTAAAAATCTAATGATATAATATATCAATTATGTCTATATTAGGAAGACTGAGGATTTCCCCATCAGTTAAATTGGAGTCACTTCACAGCCAGTATGGAGCAAAGGAATGATTACAGTGATCAATAGCCTATAGTTAAAAGATCGATGTAAACCTGTCCTTTAAGAGTTAAAGACCTATGGCTTTGAGCAGTACCAAAGTATGCAGTACCTGTTTTTTTATGTGACTCATCTTATGTCAAAATATTCTGAAACCATTTGCAGTGAACTCTGAGTCAGACGAATCCAGCCTATAATTACTGTGTTTCTGCTGATGTTTCAGAGTGATCTTAAGTGTTTAAAGGTCAGAACATAGTGAGAAGAAATACCAAAGGTCATTTCCAGTGTGCACTGTCACTTAAAGGTGGATGTGAAAATAGCTGTGGTTGCTATCGTTACTGTTATAGCTTTTACACCCTTAAACGTAGAGGCATATGTCAGGCATACTTACATAAAGGCTTTTTAATCTAAAGTCCGTAAACGCAACACATTCTCCTCTCTTAAATGTCTGATGAGTATTCTGTGAAGAAAATTTTTTTTTATCTCTTAAATTCTCTGTTGACTTGGGCATTGTATTAACAACCTTTTACAGTTGAGAAGGGGGTTAATTTAAGTTGTTTGCCCCTAAAAACATGTAACATAAATCTAAATTTTTTCCCTTTGTGCTTTTAGAGTTACCTGGAAAAAATAAATAACAATGTTGTCTTTAGTAAAAAGTAACTCATAACTTTTACTCTGAGCTATGTTTGACTTTGATGTAAGATCAACAGTAAACTACTATTACACAAGTAAGGTATTTTTAGTTTTTCATCCATGACTGGTCACCTTATGTAGACATTCCTGTCATCTATTATAAAAAGTTATTCCTGATCCATGATGTGAGACGGATTATCCAGCTTTGAGTGAAATGGTGATAAACTGCTTAGCACGTGTGCACAAATCCCTTATATGTAATACTTTTCCTCTTTCTTCGTTACATTTTACATATAACCTGATTGTATTAAAACATTTTAATGTACTTGTGATCCGAGTTTTTGTTGCAAAGAGATTGTTCCTCATGGATGTTAAGACTGTTTTTGTCTTGGGAAAAGCCTAAAGTTGTGACTGGCATTGACTGCACTAATCCTCTTTAAAACATCGGTCATGATGTAGCATGACGTAATATGACATAACAAATCTGCATTCTGCTTTGGGAGAGAATTTCACTCATATTTACTGTGTCAGCCCATTACATTATATATTACATAAAAAAGCATCCAAAATGGATAACTGCTCACATCTTATAAGATTTTTTTTGTCCGTATGACACAGAATGACAACTCAGGATAATGATTAGAGGTTAAACCTACGAGGGAAACAATTGTATTGTACATTTAGTCATTAACGTAATGTTTAACAGGAAGAGTAAAAAACACTAATATCAGAAATGTTATTTAAAAATAATATATATATATATATATATATATATATATAGTTAAAAGTATTAAGTAGTAAGTAAAAAAGTATATATCATTTTAATTATTCATAATTTAAGTTAAATGTTAATAACTAAAACTATTCCCCACCATCTTCATCATTACTTTCTTAGACCCTATGAACTACATTTGTCACCTTTTAAAGCGATGATCTTGTTTTACTCTTATATTTTACAAACTTAAAGCTACATGTGTTAATATGAATGTGTGGAGTGAGTGCCGTAATATTTGTTTTTTTATTTAATACAGAACGTAACACTGGAGGGTGCTGTTGTATAAGATCTGCAGCCTCCATCTGCAAACAACAAGCTCAGTCATTGCACAATCTCGCTGCTTGCTCTCATGTAATATACTAATTCAGAGGTTTCATAAAAACAAATGTCAGTTAATAAAGTGAGGCTCGTAGCACCAAACACTTTATTGTTGTCTTTTATTAAGCATCAGACAGTAAAAGGAGAAAATTGCTTCCAAATTGCAGATCATAGACATTTTCCTATAGCTTTTTAGATGATATTTACAAGTTCTGTGTGTCAAAGTTTAATAGCGCTACATGCGTTGAACAACAGGAAACCACAAAGATAATATTCTACAAAGTCAACTGGTACAAAGTATGAAACTTTACAAAACAAACATTTCCCCAGACACAGTAAGGGCAGCATACAGACCTGTGTGAGTTAAACAGAGGTGATCAATTCCCTGAAGATGGGGGAAGATTTGGAAAATTATATTACCGTGTCCGTATTTGGCTTAAACCTCTAGTGTGGCATATTGTGCTTAAAGAAAAGGACAAAGGATGACATTATTATAGCATGTGCTTTTGGAAATTGTACTGGAACCAATGAGTACCTTTGTATGTTGACATTTTTATTTGCATGGTCCCTAGACAGCAGATGATTTAATATAGAGAAATCAATAAAGTGCAGTTCAGAAAACAAGAAAGAAAAGATATAAAAAGCAATAAAGACATTTTTAACATTCCCAGGAAAGAGCTGTAACCATTTAAATAGTCCAAAGAAGTAAGTCCATTGTGTCAGTATTTACTGCATGTCTGACTGTTGTGTGATGAATGTTAATGAATCTTCACTGTGTAAGACACCCTCCCTTTTTATCTTTCTAGTCTTTTCTTCTGTTTCTAATGCCTTGACAAGTGAAAGTCATATCACCATTTGTCAGTTTGACATTTTGATGCAGGGCCCGGCTGCAACAGATCCCACACACTAGTGACTGTATATTTTCTCTTTTGTCAGACTGTTTTGTAAAGTTTCTTCCTCAGAACTCCATGACACCGTCTGACCAAAGACATTGCTGTAACTGAGCCTTTCCTGCTGGCCCAGACCCTCCCTTTGCATGCCCGGGATGGTATTTATAGAATCACAGAAATGAACACATCCTCAACTGCCATTTTTGCATTGTCATTCTGCACAAAAGACTCAAGCATGAGGCTGGTCCTTGTAATGGAAAAACACACGAGTGCTCTGTGCATAATCTGGCTGTGTAACTTAGCATCTCAGTGACAGAATATGATGGCAATTGTCCCGTCCGAGGGGATGCTTCACCTCCTAAAGCGAACTAAATAGAGCTGGGACAGCTCGCACATAGTGATGTTTTGAATGATCGTATTGTCTGTGTTAAAGACTTGAAGTTGGACATGTAGTGAAAGAGCAGAGTGCTACAGCCATCGTTAGGGATGTCAGTTGTAATCGGGCTGACAGCTCTGCTGCACAGCTCTCTCTGTCACTCACCACTTGTTCCTATTCCATTCACATTTCACACTCTCTCCCTCCATGGGAGAAGGTGGCTGAAGTGAACATATACATCATAGCAACAGCACCTTAGTTTCAGGCGCACATTGCTGTGGTGATGCACTGTCTTGCTGAGACGGGTGCATGTTTCTATTAAAAAAGAGGGAGCGAAATAAAGGGATGATAATTCGAAAAGTCCCACAATCAAGTTTTCTGTTTACATAATTTCTTCAACAATTCAGTCTTCAGCAGACTGAGGCCACAGGTGAGGAGGGACAAACATATATAAATGAATGACTGAATGACTCCATGAAGAGAATGCAAACGCTGTTATATTACCTATATATATATGTTATATTACTCCATCTGTACAAATTAGGCTCCTTGCTCGCATCAAATGTGAGCCATCCAGTCATCTCAAGCATTGCCATGGAAACAGTGGTTGTTCACTCTGCTGAGTGAGTCGGCACCTGTTTGTTTTTTGTGGATTGGGCCTTTTTCATGTAAATGTTCGGTGTATTTAAGTGTAACTGCACAGGAGACACATTAGAGGGAGAGTTGTGGATACCTAATATAGCAGTCTGAGAGATTGATGACCCAGTTCTCTGCATGTTTATTTGCTGTACAGTTTGTTTAAGTGTCATTCGGGCTCGATTAGACAGGGTTCAGTGACAGATTCAGTATACGGGGCAGGCGTTAGTTAAAAGCAAAAGCACAGAAATAGCTAATTCATATTATGTCTAATGCTTGCAAACATCCATACAGAGTAAATACTACTTAAGCATAAAGATTCACTACTAAAAATAGATGCTTTCTAGCATGCTTGCATGATATGTTGTAAAGTTAATAAGGGTTCCATGCTTGCGTGATTAATGTAACAAAGAGCACGAGAGCACCTGATGAACAACAGATTGGTAATATGTCTGGAGTCAGGTGCTTACATAAAAGCAGGCTGCAGGATATTTGGTTGAACTAAAGTGGCCTAAGATACCGGCATGCTGTTCATGTGCTTGAGAGGCGAGCTGTACGTAGCTGCGAGGTGGCTTTACGTCTGTAAGAGATGTCATGTGAACTCGTATGAGCATAATGTTTTGGATTTCTGGAAGCGAACCACTTGCCAAATCCATAGTGTGTAAATAATCAAATTATCTTTTGAAACGGATGTAAAATAAAGTGCCGTGTTGTCTCTTCATTTTCCTTCTTTCCTCTCTCTTCTTTCCTCGTCAACAGCTTTCTTCTTCTGAGGCCAGTCCTCTCATCTGTGCATTCTCTAGCTTACATGTTTGTGCCGAATGAGCAAGTATGGCTCCCTGAAATATATCAGATTCTGCTGTTTAGAAAAGGAATGCTTACATTTCTAACATTTAGAGATAAAACAGTAAAACTTACTATCCTCTATTTGAGTTATCAGAAAGAGCAGTTCTTTGGTTCTTCACATTGCACAAAGGATAGAGGAACAGACATTTACAGTGAGACAGTAGCAAACAACACAAATTTATCTACTACAGTATATTGTCTAATAAATGCAACTCCATCAAAATAATGCAGTACATACATCGTAATGCAAAACTATGAGATTAGCACAATATATTTGTCTAACAGAGTCCATTATTTTAGAAAATATCTTAAAAATATAAATTATTTTGATACTTTACCTTGTACAATAAATGTGTTTTCTTGTTATATTCTACTTTTGTAGTTATACATGTACATTATTCACACTCCTACAAAACCGGAGGTTCAACATAGAAAATCTTTGTGATTTTCAGTGCTGTCTGTCCAGCTATAGTGATGCTCATAAGCACTGTCATTTTTTATGAAGTTCAGATTTTCAGCTACAATAGGAATGATGACTCCACCAAAACTCCTTTGAGAAAGTTTTGAAATAACACAAGACTTTTGTTTGACTTTCTCCAGATTCAAACTGTGTACACCAATCTGAGGAACACACAAAGACATTTAAGAAACAATCAAAATAAGTAAACAAACAAGAATAAAGAGTTGTTCATAATAAAAATAATTATCATGTTAAGGTGCTCTCTCTTGCCAGCAGTCGGGCACAATGGGAACAAGAAGGAAATCGATGGATGCAGCCTCACAGTGTCTCTCTGTGTTGTCGAAATGTATTCTGTGCAGTAAAAAATATCGACGAGCAAGACACTAAACTCCTGTGGAACAGAAACAGACTGACACACTTGATTCTCCTCTAGTTCACACTTAAGACAAGAGACCAAGAACGCTACATAACAATAAATATACTGTATATGAAAGATGATCATTGTACACACTTATATATGTGCTGTCTATCTGTCTGTCTGTCTAACTCTCTCATACAAACACAAACATAAAACATGGGTAACAACATAAACTAAGGCCAGTTTTGAGGAAGGAAGTTAAAGGAAGCAAACTATACATTTTTCCACACTGTTGCCTTTGTAATGTCATAATTACACATCGATAACCATGACTTAAAGAAAAATGTAAGTTCCTCCTTCACACTACAACATAGTTGTTTGGACTATCTCAGCTGAATGAGTCTCCCAGTTTGCAGTACCATGTTTCAATGCCCTCTGTGGTTTGCTACTGTTTGGACAGCTTTTGCTATAGTGGCTTTAAAGTGGTATCCAGGGTCAGAAAAATAGGTTTTTGCTTATAAAAAATTATATTCTGTACTCTTACAACTAGGCTGTAATTATTAGATGATAATCTGGGCTAAAACAAATGTATAAATAGTAAAAATTATCATACGGGTGTTCCTTGCTATTTTTAAAACCCCTTCAGATCAGAGTCCTCTGCTAAATTAATTTATTCAGGAGTTCTTGGTAGCAAAACACAAAAATCTTTCCCATTGTCCACAACTATTGTATTTTCATGGGAGCTGCACTTTGTATTGTAATTTTTCAAATATTCCTGCAAATGTTTTCAGTGCCTTTCATATTCATGGGAAGTTCAGTTCACTGTGCTTCTTTTTTCCCTGTCTGCCTCCTCCTCTCCTTAATGTTTCCTCTGTGGTCTCTCATTTATTGTAACTTTAAGCGTTAGAGTGACCCTTCTCTCCCTGAAGTGGCTGTAGTTCCTGGACCACATGGTTCTCCTGCCCTTCTATTGGCAGTGTGCTGTTCCCCAGCTTTCTCTGCAGGCCCTCTGTGTGGTTGGACCCTTTCTGGTAGCTGGAGTGATGGCCAAACTTGGGGCTGGCTTTTTCCAGGAGTCTTTGGGATGGGTTGGTGCCTGAACCGTCATGCAGGTGCTCCTCCTCATCTGTGTCAGCATCAATGAATTTATTAATAGATGCATCGTGGAATGTGAAGATGCCGGGCTGTAAATTCTCCGGGGGGGTCTTGGTGGGTGTCCTGCTGCTGGCAGTTGTGTAGACGGACACCTCAGGGCTCTGGACTGACGAGCTGTCCGAGAGGGCCCCTGTCCCTGAATCCTCCCCACCTCTGAAGTTGACCTTGAGTGAGCGGCTTTTTAGTGGGTTTTTGAAGCGCGGACCTGTGGGGCTGTCAGAATATGGCCTGGACTTGGTGCTTTGTCCTGTCTGGGGTGTAGTGTTGCCCTGGGATCCTTCATGCTCATTCTCCAAGGTGGGCTCCAGGCTGGGGTTGGTGCTGACCCTCCCTGGCATGTTGCTGACAGGGCTGTGGGAAAAGCGAGAGCTCTCAGGGAAGTCAGTGGCACAGCTGATGAAGCTGTCAATGCTGGACATACTCCTCATGTCTGTAACTGCTTCTGCTGTGCTAGAGATAGGTTCAGCGGGGATGCTTTCCATCTCAAATTCAGCTCTCTGCCTAACTGCTTTGGACCCTTTTTCCTTGCTGTTGAGGTTGGGTTGTGACTGGGTCTTGGCCATTTTGTTGTACATCTCTTCCAGTTTCTGGGCACTAAGATGCTGAGGGCTGCTAGAGGACTTGGCCTGCTCTTGGTAGTTTGGTTCAAGGGTCTTGATGGGGCTGCTGGGGCTCATCTGTGACTTGAGTTTGAGTGCCCCTTTTGGCTGACTAGGAGACACATGATTGTCATGAACCTTCTCCTTCTTTCCATCAGCGTTTTCCACCATTACATCCATTAGTTCTACACTGCGGCCAAATGCCTCTTTAAGGTTCATAGAGACAATGCTACCATTTCTCTTGGCCCTCTCCAGAGCCTCCCTTCTTTTGATGGCTTTCTCCTGCCTCTTTTGCTCCTTGTAGAACTCAGAGAAGTTATTCACAATGATGGGGATAGGCAAGGCTATTACCAGTACTCCAGCGATGCAGCACAAACCTCCAACTATCTTTCCCAGTAGAGTTTTTGGGTAGATATCTCCATAGCCTACTGTTGTCATAGTAATGGTAGCCCACCAGAAGGAAGCAGGGATGCTTTTGAACTTGGTGTCCTCTTCATCCTTTTCTGCAAAGAAGACCAGACTGGAGAAGATCATGATGCCCATGGCCAAGAAAAGGATGAGCAGGCCCAGCTCATTATAGCTCCTCCTAAGAGTGAAGCCCAGAGACTGAAGACCTGTGGAGTGACGAGCCAGCTTCAAAATACGCAGGATACGCATGATTCGGAAAATCTGAACCACTCGACGGACATTCTGAAATTGCAGCACACTCTTGTTGGATTCTGTTAGGAAAATGGTGACATAGTAGGGCAAGATGGCCAACAGGTCGATGATATTCAGAGGACCCTTAAAGAACTTCCACTTGCTGGGTGAGGAAAGGAAGCGAAGCAGGTACTCCATGGTAAACCAGGCAATACACACAGCTTCCACGTGGGCCAATTGTGGGTTGTCTGAGGACTGCCCAAACTCATCGGTGTCCTGCAGCTCCGGAAGGGTGTTCAGAGACAAGGCAATGGTAGACAACACAATGAAGAGGATGGAGACAACTGCCAGGATCTGAAAAAAAACAACAACAATGAAAAGTACTGTGGAATACACATTAATGTCTGAGGAATATACCCCAGTGCTGTACCCAGCTTGTGCCATTTTTTAAGGATACTATTGTTGGTCGGTACACCACTGAAATAGATCCAGATGGACTGCTATTAATTTTCTACAGACATTCAAGGTTCCCAGGAGATGAATCCTACTGACTTTGGTGATCCCTTGACTTTTCATCTAGTGCAATCATTAGGTCAAAATTTTAAAATGTCCAATACTTTTTAATTTTTTACCATATCCCTGTAAAACCAAAGATATTTCCATTAGTCTTAGCTGTACGTGTGTTTAGAGCAAATTGTAAAATATTAGCATGCTAAATTTAGAACGCTGTTCTGCATAACCTCGCAGAGCTGCTAGCATCTCCGTAGACTGTTAGTCTTGTTTTTGTTCTTGAGGGTGACTTTAAAAAAAAACAGCTCTCCTATAAAAAGTTTGAGGTGTTTAGGTCAGGTGATCAAATACTTATCAGGATGTGCATAAAAGATATGGATGTCTTCAGACTAATTGCCTGCAATCCAGTCTTTTCATCTTTGTTGAATAAGCTGCAAACATTTGATCATCAGTACAGTGATGAACTGATGATGGCTGCCTAGAATGAAATGATTAAAAGACTTAAACATTAAAAGACCATCACTCAGTATGCAATAACTCTGAAGCCATCTGTTTTGTGTTTGTGTGAGGGTCCTTCTCATTACCTTGAACCTGTAGTTGGCATCACAAGTTACGCTTTCAGTTTGAAAATGATCACAATTATACTGACAGTAAACAAGAAAAAGTAGGTCCATGCAGTATTTCTACACATTATACATTTGAAGGAGTAATTTCCCTTCTCTTTGCATTTTGCAATGTTGAAAGATATGTTAAAGGTTGAATGTGACAGTGGATGACCAGTGGAGCTATAGTTAGCAGTTGCCTGCCCCTGAACTACATGCTGAAAGTTAAAACGCTCCACCAAAGTGAAGTGTTTTAACGATGTCAGAGGAAGAAGGTCAGTCCCATGAGAAATTCCATTTCAACGTGTCGAACTGGTGTGATTCCATTTGTGACGCTAAATTGCTTTTCAGAACTGGCTAAAATATCCCAAGTAGTGATGGCATTTTCTGATGATATTAGTTCACAGCCCATTTAACTTTCTGGCAACTTTATCAAAAGTATTCACAAAATGTCATGTCAGCATTTCAAAAGAAATAAGGTCAAAGCTAATGTGATCTCTGGGGTGGATGTTTTTTCTTCTCTTCAAGTTTTGACAGACAGTGAAGGAGGGAGACGAGACAGAGAGACTTTCAGATTGTATTGATACATTTTTAAAAACCCCTGGAACACTTCTCCCTGTCCATTTCTTTTCAGTCTGTTTCAACCCTTCAATGCCCAAGGCTACAAGATAACCACAATGTTTTACTTGTTTTACAAAGCAACCCATGCGTAGTCAGTGAGCCTGTCTGACAGAGACCTCTGAAGCATTGAGCCACCTACTAATGATATAATCTGCTGAGTACAATAGGGTTTTGTCATAGTGCTGGGGATTAACAAGGCCACACAGTTGTGGGTGTGTAGGTGTGCCACACCTATTATTCCTGTCCCGGAGTAAGTGTGAAATCCAACACAAGGTCACTGTGGAGGCTGTGTCCCAGGCCAGTGGCGAGCAGGATTATTCCCTGGCAGCAATCGGCTACCATAAGCTTTAATTAATCTTGACAGGTGACTGCTTGTACACCTACCTTGGCCTTTGAGGAGAGAGGGACTAAAAGCAGAGCTGCAGGGGTGGAGGTGAGAGAGGGCAGGAGAAAGACTGGAGTAAAGGCATTTCAACTTCAGCAGCCTAATAGTTCAGCTGTGACAGTAAATTAAAGGGCAGACAAAAAAAATTAACTCTATCAGAGCTTTCCCTGAAATAGCCTGCCTGCCGGTCTAGATCCCATGAGATCCAAGTGATGGATGAAAACTCTCAAATGCGACCCATTAGAGGTAGATTCCTTGTTACTGAATAATCACACCCAAGAGAATAAAATAACCAATGTCAACATGAAACATCATCATTAACAGTAACAGACAAAAGTTAGTAGAGTCAGTATTTTCAGTGTTTTCTGAGGATGGAGAGGTCAGATAGGTTATCAGAAAGTCTGGAGAGGTTGGAAAAGGAAAATGTGCTTTATGTGCATTGATTTAGAAGCAACTTTTTAAAAGACAGACAGCTGAGAGGCATTGGCTACTGAGCCTCAGCTCTAAAAAGGAAACCGCACTCATCAGATCAAGACTAATCAAGCTTGACGCACTGACCAGGCCTAGATGTCGCTAATAAATCATGCTGAACACAAAAGACACTGAACCAAGGCGTGTTGTGTGTGTGTGTGTGTGTGTGTGTGTGTGTGTGTGTGTGTGTGTGTGTGTGTGAAGAACAACTGAAGCATGACTAGCTCCACCTCCCAGACACTTCCCTCTCTTACTCACCTTTCCCCCTCCCACCCTGGCAGCATGCCCACTGGGGTCAGCCAGAGAGGAGATTATAGGGATGTGATCTCACAAAAGAGATAGAGTGAGAGAAAGAAGTGTCTTCTGAGGACACTGAGCACAGTGACAAATCTGTGACACAGAGGGAATGAGGCAAACCCAGCCTTTGCTTTGCAGACGAAATTTGTGACTTTCCTTGGTTGGGCAATGTGAGTTGGGCGTGTATGTATGATTTGTGCATGCGGGGGTGACACTGTTTCACAAATGAGGAAATTGAATATGAATATCCTCATATAACGGCCAGGCAGAGCAGAGCAGAAGGAGAAGAACAGACAATTACAGTAAAATGAGTATTCTCACAGTGCATATAAAAGGCACTAAAGTTGAAATGCAATTGGGTGAATATATTTTACTATGCAGGAGAGACAAAAGAAGGTTATAGTTAGTGTTGTGTTACCTCATTAGCTCCTAATGACAAGCACTGAGGTCACAAGGACAGCCCATCCCACTTCCTGTCTGCATAAATGGAAGCTGAATCTGATCAAGACTGCTGTTACTTCTACACAACCCTGACACACACTTATCTTTAACACACACACACACACACACACACACACACACACACACACACACACACACACACACACACACACACACACAACACACACACAGAACACACACACACACACACACACACACACACACACACACACATTCACTCCATATTCATTTGCTCAGTAATTAGCCACAAGCCTCCCTTCCCCACAGGCCAGTAGGCAGGAGACTGAATATTTAATATCCTCCTGAAGTGCAATCCTGTCCTGGAAAAGGTGTGTTTGAGTGGGTACTCACTGGGCCATGACGGACTACAGAGCCAAAGAGCTAGCCTAGTTTTCACACTGCTTTCACCACACAAGGTTAGTTCTGCTTCATGCTTGATCAAAGGAGAGATAGATAGGGAAGAGAGTTCCTATAAACACACAGCCGGAGGTTCCTCAGAGAGGGACCGTCCCATTAGGATTAGGAGTTCAACAATTACCTGGTTCCACTTGTTTCCCAGAAGTAAAAGCAAAGCAATTGCAGGTTTTATCAACAGCCATCCTTTGGTCCTGTACATCTCTCACAGATACATGATAGGCAACCTATCTTATTTTGTGCTATGTGTTTATTTTTATTCCTCTTGTACCTTTAACTCATTCCACTCACACTGAGGGCAAAAATACTTAATTACTTACTTTTAAATACTTAAAAAAGAATACATCACGCATAATTTATCTGCTGATTATAAAAGACTGCCACGCTGTAAAAAGTTGGTAGGTTGTGTCAACTGAGGTTATAATCAACCTGGATTTGTGGCGGTTACAGTCGGTTATAGAAGGGATATGTTTTTGCTGTAGAAAACATAAAAATATGAATAGAAACATATTGAAACAGACTTTCATTATAATTTCTACTTCTCAGCTATCCATCTGTTTGCTGTGTTGGCTCTGTGAGGGTTGTACTTAGCCACAGAGGTGCTTTGAGGTAAATACTAACGTCAGCAGGCTAAGATACTTGACAATGCTAACATGCTGATGCTCAGCAGGTATGTTTACTATGCTCATTATCTTTGTTTAGCGTGTTAGCATGCTAACATTTGCTACTTAGCACTAAACACAAAGTACATCTGAGGCTGATGGATATGTCATTAGTTTTGCAGGTATTTAATCATTAAGCAAAGTGAACTGGTCTTAGGATCAAGATTTCTAATTATTGGTTAATCATAGAGGTTTATTTTGTGACAGAGAAGTCAGGAGAGGAGAGAAAAGTCAGAACAGATCAGACAGAAGGGAGACAGCTGCCAGGGCAAAGGGAGGAGAGTCAGATAAAGACTGGAGGCGTGTAAGGAAGGAATGAAAACAGAAATACGACACACGAGTGTCATTTAGGTATGAGAACAGACGACGTTATGAACAAAGTGGCATTGTATTGGGCAGAGGAAATCTTTCTGTCTGGTATTTAAGGCTTTCCCCTGCGTCATGCTGTGTGAATTGTTGATTCAATTCTGGTCCATCCTCAATGTAACTGGATTTGCCCTTTTCACCACATGAGCCGAATAAATGGAGGGATTATGTCACATAGTGAGTCACTCACTTTATTTTCTGTGGGCATGTTGAGTGCAAGGTGGCATCTTAATTACTTTTATTGTACTACTTTTTCAGGGATTTGCCAATAAATGTTTTCTGGCCCTGTGCGCTGACAGCCGACCTTCCTCCTACAGAGTCTGTTGTGGTTGTGCTCTAGTTCCCTCTGTGGGATACAGTGTTTTTGTTATTAGCAAAGACTTTAATGGAAAAGATGGATGGACTTACACTGCCAGTAAACAAAGTGGAGAATCCTCTCCTCACCAAGTGGTAGAAGCCCTTTACAGCTATAAACACTTCCTCCCCTGGGTTACAATCACCTACTTGGAAAGTTCCACATAGGGACCACAGTGCAACTCTCACCTGCTGCCCTCTTACATAAAC